GGGCCTGACGTCTTCACCACTGCTCCAGGACCTCACGTCAGGGACACACTCCCTTTGGCTTTTACCGCTGCTCCATGCCTCAGGCGCCTCCTGGTGGCCAACCAGCCTCTCTGGTCCCTGCTTGTAGTCTGAACCCTGTCCAGGGTTCTCCACATCTTCCAGAGCCGACTCATAGGGCCCCTCGCTGTCGGAGTCTGTTTGCAGCTCCCACGGCTCCTGCTGGGCCACAACACTAAGCTATTTTTCTTTATGCCAAAAATGCAGAATACACTCAAACTACTCTTCCCTATACAATAGGTAGGGATAGGTAGGGTAACAAAAATGCATTAGTGTGTGGTAATGACATTGAGATACATGGGAAAAGATGCAACCAAGGGAACAAGCAGATAAAAGGCAACTTAGCCCACAGCAGGAATGTGGGAAGGACAAGAGGCTCAGAAAAGAGCCTCCTTAGTTTCTTGGCTTGTCACTGAGACTTGCAAGATTATGTTAATGTAACTTTACCATAGAGTTGATTGATTGATTGATTGATTTAGCTTGTATGCCACACATCCCACCAAAGGTGATTTTAGGTAACTTACAGATCTTAAATTAAAGTGCACCTATAAAACATTAAAACAATAATTAAAAATCATAAATTTAAAAATTCAATTAAAATAAAACTAACCTGAAATAAAGCAAAGTAAAGCGGGAGGGAATAAAGTGTGCACAGGGAGGAAGTGGGGTATTATCTACTCCATTAGCCAGCTCCAAAGTATCACACCCCCATTGAGGCACCAGGCTAATTGGTATAGTTATTCTTCAAAGCATTTTGGAAGACAAAAGGGTGGGCGTGGATCTCACCTCAGGGGGCATAATGTTCCAGAGGGAGGAGTCATGGCAAGAAAGACACTTCTGTTGGACACGCCAGATAAAAATCCTTAGCTGATGGGATCCATAGCATACCCTTTCACCATCACCATCAAGGTGAGCTGGTTTTTCATATTGCCTGGATCCATACCAAGAAGGGATTCAAGGGTGATAACCAACACCTTGAATTGGACCCAGAAGCAAACTGACAGCCAGTGCAGTTCATGGAACAGCAGTGTAACAGGGGCTCCAAGAACTGCCATGCAGTTGTGTTCTGCACCAGCTGAAGCTTCCAGTTACTCTTCCAGGATAGCCCATGTAGAGCATATTGCAGTAATTTGAGTAGTCCAAGCGAGAGATGACAAGGGCTTCTGTTACTGAGTGAAGGGATTCCTGATCCAGGAAAGGGCACAACTGGCACACAACACAAAGTTTTTGCAAAGGCTCTCCTAGCCGCGACTGCCATCTTCTGTCAAGCAGGAATCACAATTCCAAGAGAATCTCCAGACTGGGCATCAGATAGTGTAACCCCATCCAGAACCTTATATATTAAAGAAGTCCCTAAGCCAGAAGCCCCATGCAACCAAAGCCACTAATTTTACCAGAATTCAGCCAAAGTCTCTTGTCTCCCATTCAGACCCCCACAGCCTCCAAGCACACAAAGTACAGTGAATGAGTTCATTTGCTGTGATTTCTGCATGGTTTGCATCATAACATTGGCATAAAGTCAACATGTGGAAAGAGCAAGGCAAGACTTTAAAAACTGGGAAAAGTGTAAAACTGGGTCAATCTTTGTTTTTGAGCTACAAATTAACTATTACATGGGTAACCTATGAAATTCTCCAATAAATCTATTTCCTTACATAGTTACAGAAAGGGGCAAT